AGCGTACAGCCGTGATGGGTTGTGTACAAGCTAATAGGGTGTCAGAATGGTATATATTTATACTTCTCGTCGAACCACAATTAAATTCACTCTATCCCGGAGACACAATTAATCAGGATAGTATTTTTTAAGTAATAACAACTCCGAATAAAATAGGAGTAACAACTTTCTACTTCTTACCTTTTTAAAAATTGTAATGAGTAGAAAGTACAGATAATTATGTAAAAATGTAATGAGTAAAAGTAAAAAAGTATGGTGAAAAACATTTACTCAAGTAAAGTACAGATAACAAAAATCCCAACTTAAGTACAGTAACAAAGTATTTGTACTTAGTTACTTTACAACTCTGCACAATACTTTATAGATATTTTTATGGGGTTAAGATCAGGTGGGTTTACTGGCCAATTAAAAACAGGGATACCTTGGTCCTTAAACCAGGTAGCTTTGAAGCCAAGTCCTGTTGGAAAGTGAAATCTCCATCTCCATAAAGTTGGTCAGCAGCAGGAAGCAGGAAGTGCTCTAAAACATCCTGGTAGATAGCTCCATTGAGCTTGGACCTCAGAAAACACAGTGGACCAACACCAGCAGATGACCCAGACCCAAACCATCACTGAGTCTTTGAGCTGCACTTCAAACTGCTGGAACACAGGTACCATCCATACTGTTTTCAATTAACACATTTTAAATTTAGAGTTTAAATAACCGGTTAACTGCTGCTATCGCTGCTGAGATATAAACTGAGCAAATTTGTTGCTCCGTTTATCAAGTCTTCAGACTCAATTCGATTCAAAAGTACTTTAGTGATCCCAGAGAGAAATGACAGTTTGGAACAACCCATTGAAGAGGACAGGTGCCCTGGGTCCTACATGAAGAGGAGCCACCCTGACTTGACTCTTCCAGCAGTTATTCTTTTTAAATAGCAAATGTTGACAAATCTAGTGACTTTTTTCTGGTGTTTTTGAAGATTTTTTGACACTTACTGAAAAACTGGCAACACTGATGCTGACTTCAAAAATGTCCGACCTGGCGCTGCTCACAACAGACATGGGTTCAGTGTGAAACAACCAGAGTTGTAAAGTAACTAAGTACAAGTACTTCTTTACTGTACTTAAGTAGAATTTTTGTGTATCTGTACTTTACTTGAGTAATTGTTTTTCAGCCTACTTTTTACTTCTACTTATTACATTTTTTTAAAAGGTAAGAAGTAGAAATTCGTTACTCCTATTTCAGCTTGTTGTTAAAACATATTATCCTCATGGATAGAGTGAATTTAATTGTGGTTGGATGAGAAATATAAATATACATCATTCTGATCCTGTATTAGTTTGTACACAATCCAACACAGCTGCAAATGACACAAATCACACTCCAGCAGAACATAGCAGATATACTGTATGTAGCCTAGTACCAAGATGTCTGTGGCACACACACACACACACACACACACACACACACACACACACACACACAC